TACCTTTGTCAATTCACTGATTTTCACTGCTGCTTCATTATTAGTCTTCATTATAAATTTCTTTACGTGAGGCCATTGGAGACCCTAGCTCAATCAATTGTAGCTGAGATAGTGAGGGAAGGTGGCTGGTTAAGACTCTGTGGAAAACGCAGAGGAAACGACTGCAAATCATGTTATCCTGGAAAAATTTTACAATATCATTAAAACTTAAAATTAAAAAAAAAAAGCGAAATGCATTGAATCATGTTGTAAGGTATTTACCCTTTCGGAAACTGAAGCTTCAAATACCATCACCTTTATAACAATTTATCAAATCAACCAAATCAATAATCGAGAAATTGTTCAGAACAACAGAAAAAGTAACTGTACAATAAGCAATATGATGTGTACCTTTGGAACCGACCCAGGTTGAATTTTGTTAATGGCGTTGTGTCACACCCCCAAACCAAGGATGGCGGAAACGTCCGGGGGTGGAGGACTTCATGTAAAGTATCACAACAACGAGTATAATAGTGCTCAAAGTAAATACAATCATCATAAATATAATTGAAAAGGTTACACCATAGTATATGTTTACATGTTTCAAAATCAATTACATTATGATGACAAAATAAACTGTTTGACGATTTAACGTCCCATCCTCAAAGTGCTGATGTTTTCCCGTTTCACTGATTTCCTGAGAATACAAGTAGTTTTGAAAAGTGTCAACAATTAAGTTGGTGAGTTCATAAGAGTTTTGTTTGAGGAAGAAACCGTTTCCTTGTAAAAGCGATAGAGTATGATTTCCAGAAAATCCAATATTTTCTTAGTTAAGTGTGAAATGAATGCTCCTATGTTATGCGATAATGAACCCTAGAAAGAACCATAGATTCCTTCTATAATTACTCAGCGTATATAAGTTATACAAAATTTTAGTTAAATAAACCGTTGAATATAATGGGTCTGCCCTAGGTCCACAACCAAACAAGGAACAGGAAATGAGGCGGGCCCACCAATTCTAAGTCGATTTCAATCCAATTTTATATAAATCTAACATGTACACTTACCATTATAGCTGAAAACTAACAATTCTAACGAATGTAGTTTTAACATCATAAAACCATTTTTGTGTAAAACTGGTACTTTGTATTTGTACCCCTTTTTGTATGAAAACCTGGTACTTTGTATTTGTACCCTTTTTTTTGTATGAATCCGGTACTTTGTATTTGTACCCCTTTTTTTGTATGAAAACCTGGTACTTTGTATTTGTACCCCTTTTTGTATGAATCTGGTACTTTGTATTTGTACCCCTTTTTGTATAAAAACCTTTTGTAATGAGTTCGTAATGTAAATGAAAATAAACTATACCTATTATAATTTATCAAAATGTTTGTAATGTGTATGCAACCTAACTATACCTATTATAGTTTAGCATGTTTGCTTGAGGTGTATAAGAACCCTTTTCTATGTAAGTCGAATGTATAGCAAAAATATAACTATGTTTATCATACTTTGATTTGTACTAATGGTAATGATGGAGGATTCTTACAATTCAGTGAATATTTTCTGTTATATAATTATACCACAACAAGAAACACATATAAAATATGAAATCCCCAAAGATTAACACTTTGCTCAACAAGTTACAAAGTGTGATGAAAGTTATAAGCTGTTACTAGTTTTTGACCTTTCTACACTGTTTTAGAAAAATCATAGAAAAATCATACGAAGTCGAAAACTGAATCCGTAAATTCTGAGAGTTCAAAAAATGTGTCTAGTTTATTCATAATCTTTATTATTATTTTTAGAAGTATTTAACTTGTGTTAAATTGTTCATATTCACAGACTGGTCCGAATTTGTTTCTGAAATGATAGGCAGTTTTGTAAAAATCACCATAAACCGTAGAAAAATCGTATGGAGATGTGCAAGTAGTAATTTTAAAGGTATGAACCTGAACTATTTGCATATTAAACAGTTTTGAAAGATATTAAGTTTAAGATAGTCAAAACAGTCCGTGAATAAGACTCAACGTTTCTGATGAAAGCTGTTGTTTGAGTTTAGTTAAGTTTTTGGTGTTTTAACTTGTATTCCCCCCCCCCCCCCCCCTAAAACTTGAAGAAAACATGAAAATGTAGGGGTATGAACTCACCTTGAGTGATTTCAGTAGATGGATGATGAAGAAAGGAAATGTTCAACTCAAGAACACTTAGAAGATTGCTTGAAGATTCGAAGTTCTAACACAAATATGATGAAGTTTGTGTGAGAAACCTATGATTTGAGTAGAAAGGAGTGAAATAATCATATGGAGGATGATAATACTTACCAAAAGTAGGAGAAAAGCTTGGAGAATAGCCTTGAATCTCGAAATTTAGAGAGAGAAAGTGAGAGAGAAGGAAGTTTGTTCTTTGGTGGAAAATGAGAGAAATGTGAGGAGAGAGGGGAGTTTTCCAGCCCTTGATCAAGGATGTGGCTGGAAAAATGATGGAAAGAGTACAATGAAAGGACCAGGTATGGTGGAAGGACAAGGGCTGGTCATTGAGTGGGTATGGAGTGGTTGCTTGTGTCACACACTAAGGCAAAGTCAACATTCCACCCATAAATCTTACCTACTAGATTTTTTTCTTAGGCAAGGATTTTCCCCAAAATATAATTAAAATATGAATATTTTAGGGTTTATTGTGTTAAAATACAAGTTTGGGTGAAAATCCCACGTTAAAATCACGAAAAACGGGCTTAAAACGAAGATTGGGTCAAAAACCGGGAAGAAAATGCTAATTTCCGAAGTCTGGCCGAAGGTTGGGTCTTGAGAGGGTTAGAACCGAAGGTGGGTTCGGTTGGTGCATTGGAACCGAGAGTAGAGGGAACCGAAAGTGGAGTAGGAGCCGAAAGTAGCCTTTCTCGGACCGAAGGTCAGGATCTCGGACCGAAGGTCAGGTTCGGTTCTCAGGAGGTTTCGGTTCCTTAAGAGGGTTCGGCTCCTTAAGAGGGTTCGTCTCCTTAAGGCTGTTTTTCGCGTAGACTTCCGTTTTCGAGCGGTTTTCGACTAAATCGAGGGTCGGGGATGCCCCGAGTGATTATAAGAAGTTGAGAGAGATTTCGAGAGAGATTTGGGAGAGATTTGACATACTTGGAGAGATTTGACATACATGGAGAGATTTGAGAGAGATTTCACACACTTGGAGAGATTTCTCATACAGAGAGAGATCTGGGAGAGATTTCACATACTTGGAGAGATTTGGGAGAGATTTCACATTCTTGGAGAGATTTCTCATACAGAGAGAGATCTGGGAGAGATTTCACATACTTGGAGAGATTTGAGAGAGATTTCACATTCTTGGAGAGATTTCTCATACAGAGAGAGATCTGGGAGAGATTTCACATACTTGGAGAGATTTGGGAGAGATTTGAGGTAGAGAGAGATAGAGTGAAAGAGATTGGGAGAGACTTCTTTTGTGACCTTTTTGAGTGTTTGGCTTTGTAACGCAAGGTTTGTAAACCTCGTTAAGTCTTGTTATGATTGTTATATGCCCTCGAGGGTTAAGGAATAATGTTTTATCGAGTAGTTTCATCACTTGCCCTAATTAGGGTTTAGAATTTCCGAACACGTGAAAAATCTAAGTGATACTTTGTATTAAGATTGCGAGTAGTACAATAAGAATCATAATGGAAACCCTAATATACAAGGGTTAGATGAGTTGACCGGTTTGACTTGTTGACTTTAGTTGACTTTGACTTGGCCAAAAATTGACGGTTGTCACACGTTGCAAGGAATCAATCCATTTCTCAAGCAAGAAATAACCAAATAGCTTCCACTTCCATGAGTTGTAGTCGACAGTACACCACCACAGACCGGCAACCTTCCAGCGATGTAAAGCCAATAGAAACAGGATAAGAAGAAAAAGGGGGCGATGGAGCATAAATCAAAACATAGAAAGGAAGTGGGTTTCTTTTATTTTTTTGAGCGTATGATGGTTGTTTATCGATTTCATAGTAGAAAAGAACATACCTTAAGGAAGCAAACAAACAACTACGGATGTGTTGACGTCGGCAGATAAGAGCGATTCGAGATATGGTGTTTCCGGTGATGTAGGGTATTCTGTACCGATGTAATTGAAGGAGACAGAGGTAAATTTGTAGAGGGGTGAAGAACGAACTCCCTGGTGGTGGTGCGCAAACATCTTACCACCGTCGATCAATCTTCCGATTCATGGATTGCAGCCCAGGTGAGGAAAGTAGGTGAAGTGAAGTGGTGTGGGTTTGAGGAAGTGAAGGGAATTCAAGAAGGAAATCGTAATAGTCAGTCACCGAGGGAGAGAGATGGTGTGGGAAAGAATTGAGAAAAGAGAAAAGGAAGCGGATAAAGGTACAGAAGATACCTGTAATGGCGGTGAAGGATTATGATTGGAGAAGAAGCCGGCAGGGAGAAGATAAGAACAGAAAAGAAGAATGAAAGAAGGAAATCGTAAGGCGTTAGAATGAAAAGAAGAAAGTTCTGTGGCAAAACAGGAAAGAGAAAAAAGTTTACTGTTGCCGAAGGTTTTATGCTTTTATGTTATATATAATAGATGTGGGAGAAGAAGAAAATGATTAAGAAGCAAAAAAGAAATCTAAATTTTATTATACTTAGTGGATTTTTAAAAGTTTTTAAACTGGGTTTGGACTTTATTTATTTTTCTATAATTATAATTTATAGTTTTAAATCGCCTCTAGACTTTATTTATTTATCGATAATTTATTTATTTATTTATCGATAATTTATAATTTATATGTATAAATATAATAAGGCTATTAGTTCAGTTTTTTTATAGTCGGTTTCCCTATTAAACCACAACCAAACCTCTGGTTATTGCTTAGAAAAATGAAAATCAAACCATCTACCTTAAAAATATTCGGTTTTGTTGATTAATTCGGTTGTAGTTTGGTTTTGTTGATTAATGTTCCCCTTTTTCAAAATTTAGAACTTTAACAGGCCAGCTTATTTTTCTTAAGTATTTGATAATGCCCGCTATTTTCTGCTGAAATGAAACATACCACCATCGCCATGTTCCGCTTCTCCGCCTTCTTCCGATCTCATGCTGTTCGCTACTCCTCATTGTCGCCCATTCATGAAACCTCCGCCGACCGGAAACCTCTTTTGATGGTCGATTATCTAGTCGATTCCCTCCACTTCTCCAAACAAGACGCCGTCGCCGTCTCCGTCTCCTCCAAAGGTAAAGTAACCAATCTCAGATCCCCAATTAATTCCGATTCAGTTCTTAATCTCTTAAAAAGTTACGGATTAGACCTTTCCCAGATCAGACAAATCATCTCTTCTGCTCCCAAAATCCTTACATGCAAAGCCAGCAAAACCCTAGAACCTAAACTCAAGGTTTTTCAGGAACTCGGGTTATCCGGTTCGGATCTCGTTAGTCTCATTAAGAAGAACCCTGAGATTTTCGGGTATGGTCTACATACCCGAATCATGCCTGGTCTCGATCTCCTTAAAAAGTTATTGGGTAGTGATGAAAAAGTGATTGAAGTTATCAACAAATCAAGATGGTTGTATGTAACAACTTCTTCTATGAAACGACTATCAACAAACATCTCGCTGTTGCGGACATTTGGTTTATCAAACGAGAGAATCATGAAGTTCATGTTAAGCAACCCTGAAAAGCTCATGGCTGATCCAAAACTGCTCCAAAGTAGGCTGAGTTATGTAGAAGAGAAATTGGGGATTTCGCGTGAGTTACCTTGTTTTATTCATGCTGCAAGTGTAGTGTTATGGTCTAGTGATTCAGAAGTTGAGAAAAAGATGAAAATCTTTAAGAGTTTTGGTTGGTCTGATTCGGAGATTTCTTTGTTGTTTAGGAATCAACCTTATGTTTTGAACAAATCCGAAGGTAACATTCGTGAAAAGCTGGATTTTTTCATGAAGGAACTTGGGTATACACCTGCATACTTGTTGAGTTGCAACACTTTCTTCACGTTAAGTTTGAATAAAAGGGTTATACCAAGGAACACGATGTTGAAAATCTTGAAAGAGAAGAAGTTAGTGAAGGATAAGTTATCTCTTATTACAATTGCAACTTACTCTGAGGTAAGGTTTCTTGAATTTTTGAAGGGTTTTGAGAATGATATACCCGGTATTTGTGAAACTTACATGGATAATGTTGAAAGAGTTTCTTGAGTTTGGTTTTTGGCTTTTAGTTGCTGAAAGGATAACGACGAAATTTTTTGTTACTTGAAAGGTAAAGCGACTTGAAGAACATTCATGTAATTGAGCTTCAAGATTCTTGGTGACTGTTTATGCCTTTCAAGTTTTTATGTATGATCGATTTACTTGTAGGAAAACTAGACTTTCTTGTAGTGTAGGAGGAGATACTGAATGCGAGAACTGTTGTAGAACATGAGCTCAAGCATTATCTGTATTTGAAATGAGTGATATGATCTCTTTTTTTAAATAATATTTGGTTTTTTGGTTGATTTATGCAATTGTTAATAAGGGTTAATGTCGCATTATTTGGTTTTGTGTCTTTTTGGCATTTGGTTTTATCTCTACATCTTTCTTCCAAGATCTAGAGAGAATAAAAATCAAATTATATTATATAACAACCTTTTATAACATTGAAGCTTATATTATAGATTACTAGTTACTAGTTATACATACCAAATAAATAAAAACAGGATTACAACATGTCAAGATCCCTACTAAACAAAAAAAAAAAGACCATTTCTTTCCAATTTCCATCACCTAGGGCCCGATAATTCAACCGCATGCAAGTTATCAGTGGAGTCAAGAATCCAATCAGAACTCGGTAGCGGCATAAGATCAAGTTCATGGCGGAGCACCTCCACCTTCTGCCACTCATCCCATCTTTCCGCCAACCCATCACCTTCCAACATCCGTACAACATCCGACATTTTTGGCCTGTCCATCGGTGACCCTTGTGTACATAGCAACGCCACCTGGATCAACTGCTCCACTTCTGTCGCCACATAATTCGTCTCTAAATCCGGATCCACTAACATCTCCAATTTCTTCTCTTTCAATAGCCCTTTCACCTTTAAAAAACCACAAATCAGATAGATAGCAGATAACAGATAACAGACAGCAGGGTTTGAGAAATACATACCCAATCAAGTAACATGACGTCATCATCATTGGCAAGCCGAGCAAGATCAAACGCGCGTTGACCGGTAATAAGTTCCAAAAGCATAATCCCGTAACCAAAAACATCGGTTTTTTCCGATGATTTCCCGGTTGAAAGATACTCGGGGGCAATATGGCCAATTGTCCCACGTACAGCTGTCGTGACATGCGTATCTTTATAGTCCATTAATTTAGCCAAACCAAAATCACCAACAACCGCTTCAAACTCTTCATCCAACAAAATATTAGCCGCTTTCACATCACGATGTATGATCTTCGGGTCACAATGATCATGCAAATACGAAAGCCCCCTCGCGGACCCCAGCGCAATCCGCTTACGTGTCGGCCAATCCAACGGCGGCTCGTTCGGCGGCCGTTCTATAAATTCACAAAATCACGTCAAAAATGCGACAACCGATGACATAACGGGAAATGCCAAATGACGAAAATACCCTTACCTCTTAGACACGAAGCGACACTACCGTTTGCCATGTAAGGGTAAACTAGTAATCTTTCGGTTGGTGTCATGCAAAAGCCACGTAATCTAAGGAGGTTACGGTGAACCGCCATGCTAATCATCTCGACTTCCGTTTGGAATTGAAGCTCGCCACCTGGCGTCCGTTCCTCTTTTAGCCGTTTTACAGCTACCAAAGAGCCGTCGGCTAACCGCCCTTTGTAGACTTTTCCGAAACCGCCCCTACCCAATATGTTTTTATTGCTGAAACTATCGGTTGCCACTTGTAATTCTCGTAAAGAAAATCTTTTAAGTTGTCCTAAATGAACTTCGGGGTCTTCTTCGGCTGTAATTAGGAAGATTCTCGAGGGTTAAAATCGTCATAAACGAAAATTTTTGTTAGACCGAATCAAAAATTACTAACCGGGCACGTCAAAGAAGTATTCTTGAGGCTTCCGACGCCGCCACCACGCGAAGGCGATGGCCGGAGCGGCAAAGAGTAACGCCGCCCCGACTGCAACTCCTCCGGCGATAGCTCCGGTGGCACTTTTTCCTACTGAAACATAACAAAAATATATTTATATTTTATATCCAGCCATTGATATAGTAACAAAATATATGTAATTTTCAAAAAAGAATATTGAAAAGTTAAGTCACCTGGGGCGGCAATAGGCGGTGGTTGGACGAATGGTGGTGGTGGTGAAAACGGAGGTGATCCTGGACATGGGTGTCCAGTAACCGGGCCACAAAGATCCAGATTATTAGCAAAACTGATAATCAAGGGATTATGTAAGTAGTGGTTTTTTGAAAGTTTAAAAAAATTAAAAACTTGATTTAGATTAATTAATCAGAGTTAGTTAGTTAGTTAGTTAGCTAACCTGATTGGTGTAAAAAGTGAGAATGAGCCACTATCTGGAACAGGCCCCGATAGACGATTGTTTGACAGATCACTGATTACAGATAACAGACAACAGATCAAACACAAATGTAGAATGTAAAAAGCATATAAAGTTATGAAAAAACACAAAGAGAGAGGGAGGAAATGCTTACAGAACTTGCAAGGATGTGATATTGGTCAATGGCATAGGAATTGGACCGGTCAAACTGTTGTTGTTGAGTCGACTATCCTTGCAGAAAAGAGACAAAATCATTAGATATTCAACTCGTGAATGAAGGGTATTTTAGACATTTAACAAAATAGTATACTTACAGAAACCGCAGCTTGGAGAGCTTGCCCAATGTGACTGGAATTGGGCCAGAAAAATCATTGAGATACAAATCTAAGCTCACTAAGTTTGTTAGATTTCCAAGGTCACTAGGAATTGGTCCACTTAAATTATTGCTGTAAAGTTCTCTGCAGAAAACAATTTCAAGAAATATTATTGATTGTTAATGGAGTAAAAAGAACATTTATTTAACTTACAAGTACTGCAGATTCTTTAGTAGACCAAGTTGCGGGACTAAAGTTCCAGAAAGAGCTGCATTTCCCAAATCTCTGAGAAAAAAAAAAAACAAAGATTCATTTTATGTTATGCGACATGAATATATAGAAAATGGATGAACTTACACTCGTATGACACTGTTATCGTTATTACAGGTGACATGAAACCATGTGCAGGGGTTAACAAGAGTGGGATCCCAACTTTGAAGAACACTATTGGGATCTTCTAAGTTGGTTCTTAAACTATGTAAAGCATCACCTGTAGATGGATTTGAATTGGTAATTAGTGATAAAGGTTGGAATCGATGAAGATGATATTGTAATAAAAGAGGATTATAAATTGCTACTAACGAATATAACCATTTGAAGAAAAAATTGGGAAATTTAAGAAATTGGAGTATCAGATTTCTGTAAAAGATAAGAAATCATGCATCTTCATCATATAATAGTTAAGATGATGGTGAAATTAACAATCGAACAGTGAAATGCGTGACACATGCATCAAAATGTCAATCAGATTGATTTTATTACTAAATTTAGCAGCCTGAAGATTCCCAATTTCAAAGATAGATTAGTCAAATCTATAATTGACAAAACCCCTAAATTTAGAAAACGATAGGAAACATGTAATAATGCAAATCGAAATCTCACCTTCCACATTTGCATTCGTGAGCTTAACATGATGAATCAGAGCGAGAACCACTGTGATCAACCCTCCTACAAACGACATCACCGAATTTCTCCGCATTTCGTATTTAGGCAAGATACATATAAACACACGACATTCCCCACTGATTATCAGTTATATAACTTCAAATTTCATCTGAAAAATGTAGATAGAACGCATTTATATGCAGCATTACATGAAAAAACAAGTGATCCCACAAAAACCCTAACCCAAAACCCCAAAATCCCTCAAATCTCCACGACTGCGAACTAGAAAAACGACAACTGGTCTGAAACAAAAGAGGGATCTCTAGGAAAAGGGAGTGAGAGAGGAAAAACCAAAAAGAAACTTGAAATGTTCTGGTGGGTGGTATCTTTACGTGCCCCTTTTTGCAAACTTTTCACTTGTTTCTACCCTACGCATCCCCACCCCAAACCTCTCTGCTCAGTTAGGTTGCAGCACCGATGCACAGTGTATGAGAGAGAGAGAGAGAGAGAGAGAGATTAGTGTCTTTTTGGGCGTGTGCCGTAGTTTTTGAGAGCTGTCTGCCCGAGCTGCCCGAGTTTCTAGAGTGCTGACCGCTGCCTTGGTATCTACTATCTAGCTGCCCCGTAGGTACACGTGTATTTTTGTTTTTTGAATTTACAAGTGAAAAATGGACCGAACCTTTAAATGACAACAGGGACGTGTAACTGTAATGTGATTGATAATCTTTAAAATAAGGTTTTAATATCAGTTAAAATGATCTGGGATGGATTAATGGGATTTTATTACTCCTAAGATAAGATATTTCACTTTACCAGTATTTTCTTTTATAGATTTATAAAAAATAATTTAAAATGTCTTTATTCATCAAAATTCAATTGAAATGGGTAGTTTTGCAACCGATTATTTTAAAGGGTGTGATGTATTTTTTTCATTTTTTTGTTAATGGTAAAATGGTATCATCTAGACATTTTTTATATTTTTTACTTATGAACCAGGGTGTGATGATGTTTTTACCTATCAATTTTTTCTTTTTTCTTTAAAAAATTTCAAAAATATAAAAATTGCATAAAACAAAAAAAAAAAATTAATTAAATAACATAACATTTCATTCAAATTTAAAAACACTAAATAATATTTCATTAAAAAACATTACATTTGATTTGATAAACGTAAAGCGAAAACTAAATTAACTAACTTCATAACGTAGTGCCGTTAATCCAAACAACATAAAATCTTTCAGTCCAATATTCATCGATATCATTGTGAATTGACTCATATAAATCAATTTAATTAACTCGATATATATGTTTCGTCAAATCGTTGTGAAGCTCGTGATGTTTTTAATTGTCACGTATCACCCTCCCCCCCCCCCTTCTTGCACGCCATACGTGGGAACCAGCCGATATTGGTGCACTTGAGGATGCATTGTCATTTGCTTGAAACTGACAAATTATTTTGTGTTCGTCTTCCAAATGCTCCAACGCTTCTTGAGGACTCCAAATGCTCGTTCGACATCATTCCTAGCCTTTTCTTGGAATGTTTTATACTTCATGCATTTTGGATCTCCTAGACATGTTAGCGTTTTCACAAACACAACAAATTCAGGGTATGTATCATCAGCAAGATAATACCTATAATTATACGTCGTTCCATTCACTAGAAATGAACAGTTAGGTGCCGACCCATCACAAAACTCATTGAATATGGACGACATGTCTAAAATATTAATATCGTTGTTTGAGCCGGGAGCACCAAAAAATGCATGTCAAATCCAAAGATCATGTGACGCAACAACTTCAACTATGACTGTGGGGTGACCCTTATCACCCCCATGTAAATTGCCCTGTTCATTCATTAGGACAACTACCCCAAGCCCAATGAAGAAAATCCAAACTTCCAAGCACACCAGGAAAGGCATGAACACTAGCATGATGAGCATATAATGATTGAACGTCAGTAAAAGTGGGTTTACACAAATACCTTGGACCATAAATAGTGACAACGCATCTACAAAACTCATCCAAACTGTATCCTTAGCTATCCGCTTAGACATTTGAAAGTATTCGTCCCATAAATCAGAAACAGAACCGTAAGCTAATTGACGAACATCAACTGCGTATTTTTGTATTTCCGAAAACCCATCCGCACCTATTGCATCTCAACGTTGTACCGTATATTAAGAAATCTTAGTAACGTCACCTACTATACGGAGAAATAAATGTTTCGCCATTCAGAATCGACCTCCAAACAGGTGTTCCTCGTAAACAAAATTTTCATTGAAGTAGTGTGCTATTAGACGGGTCTTTGCATCCCAACGATTTTTAAGAAGCATCTTCTGCATCTTTAGTTCGACTTCCTCCTCATCCTCCTCCTCTTCTTCTTCTTTTTCTTCTTGTACTGTGTCCATAATCACTTCCCATGATTTCACAACAGCCAGAGTAACGGTTAACACCAATTTACAATTTTCTAATGGATTTGCCATTTTTTAGCGGATTTTTTTAGAAAATGTATGTAAAGATTTAAAAAAAGTTAATATAGGTTTGAGTAAATAGGTTTTGATTTATGTTTGTATCCATATTGGTAAAGGAAAATTGAAAAAATAATTAAAAGGCAACAACGGTTGAGAATAACATTCACAATCCCACCAACGGTCCAAATTTTCAATTTTCACCAACGACAGAAAGTCACCGTCAGTATTATACCGGCGGTAAAAATGGGGAACGACGTGGTGTTCACCGCTTGTAAACCAAGCCAGATCAGCATACCGCCAGTGTCAATTGCATGACACTGTTTAGTCTAAGGCCATCTGGTGTACCCGTCATTAAAATCAGAATGTGTGGTGCGGAAAGCGGATGAGTGGAAGGGAACTGCACCCTGCTACACTACACCCTCGGTGCGGTGTAGGTGAAAGGTAGAAGGGTGTGGTACTCTCTCTCTCTCTCTCTCTCTCTCTCTTGGATGTCGATATATA